GGTGGGGGTAAATACCTAAAATACCTATCAGGTGGTAAGTGGTATGAACAAAGAAAGTGATGGGGGTGCTATTTCTTTTCATGATGGCACATGCCTGTAATGGAATCTTATGCAGCTGTTGGAAGGAATGCAACACATCTGTATGTACTGGATATGAACAGAGTATCACAGCAGACTGCTATGGGATAAAAGCAAGGTACAAAACTATGTGTAGGGTGTACATTTAGTGCAAGGAAGGGGAGATAATGAACTTGTTAATGGCACTCGCTTGTACATGCAAAAACACTCCAAGGATTACCTCTAAGGGGTTGTGAGTGAACAAGATGGGCAGCACAGGGCTGCATGGAACTAAGTAGAAAGTGTGATTCAATGACAAACATTCCGTTTACAGGCACACATGCACAAAATGAGGAGTGTGAGGACAAATATCAAACTGTTACTACTGGGAGAAGACAATGACCCTTCTACTCTATATGCTTCTCTCTACAGTTGGCTCCATTACTTCTGTAATTTTTAAATAATCTACAACCTGACTAGGGGAGATAGGTATTATTAGGAAAGCAGCACCAACAGGAGGCATGGCTTGCCTGAGGTCAAACGGTGGAGCTGTTTCTAATGGAGCGCTTTCCTCCCAACTCCCAGATGATAAGGTAATGGGAGAGGATCTTTGGGCTAGGTAGCTTTTCCAAGGTGGTAAGGCCCTAGGGAGGCAAAAGCCAGCAAGTGGTGGTGCCGAGGTCTTAGAGAGGGCGAACACTGCCCACGTACAAGGCCTGGGAGCTCCACTCAGTTACTGTGAAACCCCAACATTTCTGCATTAGCTACTGCCTCCCTGGCCTGCTGGCTGAATGGCAGGGCCTCAGGCTCTATTCCACCCCTCCCACGGAGAGAGGTAACAATTGGAGGTTTGTTTTGGCGGCCAGGCCTTGGCCTGCCAGCCTAGACACAGCCTCTCTGAGCCCATGAGTCTACCCAGGAGCCTTCTCAGCCTCCGCCATCCTGGAGACGCCAGTTACTGAACTGAGTGGCTTTATCACCTCTATGCCCGTGAGTGAGGTGGAGGAAGGCATGAGGGTGCAGTCCCAAACCAGTGCTGCACACTTCCCCCTCTGCTTCAGGCCTCCCCAGCTCTACTGGCCTTGGGGAGAGAGGAACTGGAAGCCTGCACCCAGCTCCAAGGGTCCACCCTAGGTGGGCTCTAGGCCCAGAAAGCCCATGACCAGGAAGTACTGAGTAAAGCTGGGCTCTCTTCAGTCACAAGCTGATTATGGGGGATTTGGGGCTGACCCAGCTCCAGGCAAGTAAGGTTGGGTCCCCGAATGGTTCAGCATAGGACAAGGGTCATAATGGAGATGTTTACACTGTCTGCTCACCCAAAGTGATCATAAAAAGGGTCTTTCCACTTAAAATATCCACCACCCTGATTTAGGGCACTGGGCCAGCTTCCCCACATCCACCACGGGAGAGCGAACCTCCATTTTACAGGGAAGAAAACCAAGGCTCTAGGGAAAGCCACTTCCCCAAATTATTAGTTTCAGGAGGACATGTTTTATTTCCATTCACAGAAGAGTTTTAGTTGTCACATTATGTCTAATCCAACTTTTAGACTCCCACTGTACCCAGAGCTTGGAAAAGTCCTAGAGTCTGGGGAATTCCTGCTCATTTGGGCTGTGAGAAGGGTGGCACAGAGGACAAGGTTGTGGAGAAGAAAGCATCTTTTTTGTACACTGTAGAACATCTCTAATTTTTTGTGACAGCCCTATCTTGGACAAGTCTCTTTCCTTCTCAGATCTATTTCCCCATCTGTCAGTTGAGGGCTGGCCTATGCACTAGAAGGTCCCTGCCTGCTCTCACTTTCTTTTATCCTCTTATGTCACCTTTGAAAGGCTGGTAGCATGCTTTGCAGTGGGAGGCTCAGTGTGTGACCTTGGGAAAGTTATTTTTCTATGGACTGTGATGTCATTGTGCTCAATATCTCCCTTATAGGGGAGGCAGGGCAGCCACATTATTTGACCCACCCCTGGGTCTAGCATTCTCACCCAGGTACTACCTCCACAAATCAGCTTCCTGACAAACCCCTGAAGGATTAGCTAGCGGGAGTTTTAATAATTTACTCAATTAAGTGATACTCATGGCCTGGGCGTCTTGGGGTTCCCCAAAAGCTCACTTTGCCAGAAAGCCAGAGTTCTGAACAGAGGCTGCAACCAGGGTACAGGTCACCTGAGGCCCAGGTTAAGTGCAAAGCATCACAGAACTCCAAAGAAGCAAGGAATATTTAAGGAGCATCACTGTGGGCAAACACATTTTTTTCTGAATTCTTAGTCTAATAATGAAATGACATCACCCTGCAGACGAGGCACCTGAGCTAAACTGGAATTCGAAACCACACCCACAGGACTTCAGAAGCCTATGCTCTTCATACCACTGAGGGGCTAAGGAACCCTGCAAGTAGGTTTCTGATTTCGTCTTAGTCTGGAAGGCAGAGACAGCAAACACCCTGGGACTAGCTGGGAGTTCTTCACAAAGGGCTGGGCTCACACTCGCCTGCTGACCAGGAGGGAGCACATGCAAACCCTTGGCTGGGAGGAGGGGCGTTCAACCTGTCCCCTCCCTTCTTCCTACTCAGTTAAACTCAATATGAGGAACTGCAGAGGAGCACCTTACAAGACAGGGAAGTCAATCTCCAGTCCCTAGGAGATGAAAAGGAACAGAGCAGAAAGAACTTCATAGTCAGACACATACTGGAAAGTGGGAGAACCTCTCCGGGCCTCAGTCTAACATCCTGCACAAAAGGGCTGTGCTTGCTGATGAAATCGGCAGTCTCCAAAGGGAAGGGCTTCATTCCAGAATGTATGAGATGATCCAGAGGGTTTAGCCAAACACAAAACAAAAAAACTACCACTGCTATCTTTAGTTGACTTTTGCAATTTCTATTTTATGTATGCATGTAATCTATTAGTGTAGTGCATGAACATAAATTTATAATTACAGATAAACCACTGGGAAGGAGGTGCTCCAAAATTATTTACAGATGGGGCAGACAGTCAAAAGTCTGGAAGGTACTGCCTGAAAAACACCCCTCTGCTAGAGCATTTAGGGCCAGTTGGTACAAGGGCAGCGATTGATTTTAGGCAAACTGTCTCCCCTCAGCCCAAAATTCAAGAAAGGCTGTATGTAGAGGCAGTGGACACTGGAAACGCTTTTTGATTAGCCTGGGTTTGAATCCAGCTCAGCCACTTACAGGCTGGACGACTTCAGATAGTTACTTCCCTTCTTTGAGCTCCAGGCTTATGAACCAGCAAGGGTATATGAAGGGTCAGTAACACTGAAAAACGTTTTAGTTAAGAGCTTAGTAAACTGTACGGGGCTATTGATTTTCTCCTCCACTCTTGTGTCTCCACTCAGAATATTTACATACTCACCTAACAAATAAATACCCAGGTCCTGCATAACATGCTGAACAGACCGCTCTTACCCCTGAGGGAGTGGAAAAAGTTATCCCTCTCCCACAGACAGAGAATCTAAGGCCTAGAGAGATTAAGTGGCCTGCCAGAGGGGTCTCAAGCCCTTACCACTAGCTAAAACTGCTTATTCTAATTTGTTATATCCCAGAATAATGGCTCACCTATGACTGTCAGGTTCACGGCTCAGGGTCTCACCTCAAGCCCTGGGCCAGGGCAGGGTGAAGCAAGTTGTCTGGCTTCAACAGGCATGAGGAAGCCTTTTACCCGCTAAGGGTACAGCCGGGGCCACTCTGCCCAGCCAAGCCCCTGCTTAGTCCCATCGGGGACCTCCACAACCCAGAGGGCAGAGCAGAGTCCGGTCCTACTCCTGAATTCCAGGCATCCTCGTGCCGTCCCTGCCAAGGAGATGGAAAATTCAAGAGGATAAGGAGGGAGGGTTTCAAAGTTAAAAAAAAAAAAAGAGCAACTTCTGAATATTCTATGCAAGGGGGAAGAAGCAAGGGAGGAAAAAAAAAAATCTCCAGCACACAGGAGGGGCTCAATAAATATTTGTTGAAAAGGAGCCGGGTCTGGGAAAGAGTCGCACAGATCCCCTGCAGGTCAAGTCCCTTTAGAAATGACAAAGGGGATCCTATCTAGGCAGTTTGCCGCCCACGCGGAGACATCTATTCAGAGTACGGAGTCCCGGGTCCCCCAGCCCCGAGGCGTGCCCTCCTCCCGCACCTCTCTGGCCTGGGGCCCCTTCCCGGCCCCCGCCCCCCGGGTGCTCTCTCCGTCCGGCCCGCACCAGCCCCACCCGAGCAGGGAAACGTGCCACCTCGGGGCACATCTCCCGGGAACTTGGCAAAAGCTGTAGGGCCTGCACTACTCGGAAAGGGCCTCAGAGGCTAACTTTTCGTCTCAGCCCTGCAGCCGGACACCCTGGAGTTGGAGCCCCGGCCTTCAGAAAGTGCCCTCTGCCTCGGAAGCTCGGAGGGCTGGCGCCGGGACCTCAAGGGACCACGTTAAACGCCGAACACTGGCGCCGGGGCCAGGGCAAGCGGTTCCGAGCGCGCCGGGTAGGGGCGGGTCCCGCCTTCTCCGCGCCAGGGTCGGGGCTGGGCCGGGGGCTCGGCCCGCTCAGCCAATGGGTGCCGCGCTCAGGCCCCCTCCCCCGCTTCGGGTGGAGCCGGCGCCGGGCCGCAGCCGGGGAAATCGTGAGCGACGTGCCGCGCAGGGGCCCTGGGTTTCCCGGCCCCAGCGGGCCGCGTGCGCCGCGCGGCGCCCCCGGAAGGAAGCCAGATACTCAGTGCGGGCACCAACTACACATGCGGCGCCCTAGTGTCCGCCAGGTCCCGAGCCCATCCCCACTCGCGTTCCCCGCCCGCAAGGCTCTGCGCCCGAGGCCGGCGCCCAGAAAGGCTCGGAGAGGTGCGCCGCCCGCTCCCGGTGTATAGTGCCGCCGGGCCGCGGGGGAGGCCCAGGCCGGCGGAGAGGTCAGCGGGGTCCGTGCCTTTGTTTCGAACCGGGGGGGGGGGCCGCGGGAGCGCGACTCACCTTGCTGCTGGGCTCCATGGCCGCGCTGCGCGGGAGGCTCTGGCAGCGCCGGGTGCGCGGGCGGCGACGGGTGGGCGGGTGGCGCTCTCCGGCTCAGGCTCCTGCTCCTGTCCCTAGACTGCGACTGCGACTCTGACTCCGGTCGCTTGGCCTCCCGCTCCCTGGTGAGCTTGTTCCGAAGACCTGCAGCCCACGACCTCCACGTTAGTCCGGCACCTCTAGCTTCTTGCCTGAGCGCGCCGACAGCAGTGTTTATAGGACCCCGGTCATTGGCTGGTGCGCCGGTGTAGGGGCTGTGTGGGTAGAACCTGGGGGCGGAGCCTGGGGCACGTCCGGGGCGGGGCTCACGAGGAGGGGGCCAGGGACGGGGGAGGGGACCGGGGAGGGGGCCGGGGAGGGGAAGACGGCTAGAGGCCTCCCTGGCTTGGGGTCTCCAGTGCGCCCGGTGCCCTAGGTCCGAGGCGCGCGCTCGCTGTGTGACGCTGGGCGAGTGTGCATACCCTCTGAGCCTCATCGGCCTCTAGCAAAATGGTGGAGCTGGTACCCGCCGAAAGACAAACTTGCTGCGGCACCACACACCGAGCCCTCCTCACACCGCTGGAGTCCTCACTCCGACACTGGATAACTTTGGTAAACTAGGGATAATAAGAGTACCACCTCATAGGCTTGTTATGAAGATTAAGTGAGTTAATATTTGCAAAGTGTTATGCGGTAAGTGGTTTTTAAGTAGTTGTTAGACTACGGGAGGTCTCGCTCAGCGATTGTCTTCCCTACCCCTCTCCACCCCCACATTCCTGTTTGCAAGCCAAGCCTTGCTTTGGCATAGGCTGGGCTCTGCCTGGAAATCCATACCCACCTCTTCTCTGGGCTTTTATATCACCTCTGACAGTGCACTGTGAATCTATGGTGACAGGTAAGTGTGAAAAATGTGGATGGGAAGATCACAGGAGACTGGGTTTGAAGTAGCTCCACTGTATACTCTCCCTAGCATGATCCTAGGTAAGATGCTGACATAAGAGCCTCACGTTTCTGAGGAGTAAACCAGAATTATACCACCATTAACCTCATGTGCTCTTCTGAGAGTTAAAGTTTCCAGAGAAGCCCATGACGAGCTTTGCACATGCTGAGTCCTCCTTTACTGCTAGTGGTATTATTTCACATTATTTCATCTGATTTCACCTTATTTCCCCTTACAGATGTAAACCTTTCTTAAGATACAGTGAAGGGAAATACCTCCAGTCTAAAGTTCTGGCCAAAAATCTGAGGTTGGGCTGAGGTTCCTTTCCCTGTCTACTGGGCAGGAGAGGGGTTACTTTCTGTTGGAAAGAAGGAGGCTGAGCTGAGCGCATGACCTCTGTAGTCCTTTGAGCTGTATGTCCAGGCTCAGTGCTGGCTGAGGGAACACCCTGGCTGGGCATGGAGCCCTGGAGGGGAAGGCAGGCACCTTCTGGGTCTACACCTGTCCCTGGCTCGTGTTTCTACAGTTTCCCAGCTGCTCAGCCTGGAAAGCTTGGGGCCACCTCTCTCACCCAGGTTTCAAAGGCAGGTACCACAGGATTTTTCACGCCTTCCACACCACTCCATCCTCCCTCCCTCCCTCCCTGCTGTGGCCAGGGCCCCCAGTGCTCCCTACTCCTGCCTCACCTAGTCCTGACCCTCATATACCTGACACTGCTGTAGGGGGAGTAAGGCCCAGCCTGGCCACCAGGGCCCATGGGGTGCCAGCATTTAAGCTCAGTGCCACCCCTCACACCAGGATGCTCATCTCTACCTTTGCTAAGGTTGTTTCCTCTGCCTGACTCTCTCCACCTCCTCAGCGTGCCAAAATGTTTCTGATGAAACAAGTTCTCCCCCACCTCTGGAATGGGGCCTCCTCTTGGAAGTGTCCCTGAGTACCCCCCAAGAGGGAATCTTTTTTCCTTTACCCTTTGGTGTCTCAGTGTGCCTCTGGGCCTGTCGGTCTTTGCCCAGATGGAGCACCTTGAAGACACAGTAGCTGAGACCTGTGGGTGAAGGAGGGAAGGCAGGGGTGCATGAGCATATAAGCAGCTAGCCTGCCTGTCTTGCCAACACTTCCAGTCATTCCTTAAGTACCTTTTGGGGTTTGCCACATGCCTACTCAAGTCTCTTCATAGGTTCCTGTTTCCACACACATCCCACTGGCACACCTCCTCCCAGCTGTGGGTATACCGCACTCAGCCCCTGGGTCACACTCACCACCAGGCTCCCTTTCCTTCTCCAGGTCAGCCCTGTGCTGGCAACTTCCCCAGGCATGGAGGCATGCAAGCCTGCTGCTGTCCTCATGGAGCCTCCAAACCAGAAAGGATTCAAGGGGAGAGATGGACAGCCACAATACCATGTTGAGTGTATGGGAGCAGAATTTGTACCACAGGGGAAGGAGAGAGAGCTTTAGGGAAGGGAAAGGGCATGCCAAGCAGGGTTTAGAAGGCTGAATATAGGTTGACTAGGTGGCTCAGAGGGAAGGCCATTCTTGGCAGAGGAAAGAACATATGCAAACACAACAGTCAGGCAGAGAGTAATTGCTGAAGGGAAGAAATGTAGACCACACCCAGAGACTGATGGTGGAGCCCTGGGCTGGGACTCCTGAGTCCCAGCTCTGCTATTTATTTGCCAGGTATCACTGAGCCTTCTTTCTGGGCTCTAGAGCCACATCTAAAATGGATGTGACAATCCCCTACTGGGGTCAGCCTGAGGAAAAATGGGTATGTATAAAAGTTTATCCAAACAAACAGTACTAGTTCATGATTTCAGAAATTCAGTCAAATCCCTTTCCTGTGGTCTGGATAGCACTTGAAGACAAAGTAGAAAAACAACTTTACCTTCACCCCATCCCACCATACCTGTCCAAACAGACCCCCATTACCTGCTTGAAATTCCATTTCTGGGTGTTCTCTCTGTAAAAGTTTTATGACCCCCTAGAGGCTACTGTTTAGAAGTAAGTTCATCAGAAGCTATTGACACTGGAGCAGAGATTAGATTCTCAGGTGGGCTAGTTTATTTTTTGGGTGACTTAAGTTCTGAGAAACAGGGTTTAACTCCAACCAGGGAGGGAATACCAGAGAAAGCCTAAAGAAGTGACCTCTGAGCTTGGAAAGGTGCAATGGAGGGGAGAGAGCATGAGCAAATGCCAGGAGGTGGGTCATGAAGGTACTGCCTTAGCCACAGAGAGCCTGCCTAAGTAGCCCCTGTGGCTGAGTGTAGAGGTCTAGCTGGGAGAGAATGAAGATGAAGATAGGGGAATTTGAGAGAGAGAAGCTGAAGACATGGGTCACAAAGGCCCTCAAATGCCAGATGTAAGAGTTAGGGTTTTAATACAGAGCAACAGGGAGCCATGGAGGTTTTGAAGCAGAGGAAGGGCCTGAGGGAATCTCGGCCTCCTCTCAAGCCTATTCTGCCTTGGGGCTTTAAAGGTAGGTGTGAGGAGGCGGTAGAGCTCCAGCGCTCAGCTAAAGAGACCCAGTGCCCCTGCTCCGCCCAAATCTGCGCTCACACTGGGAGCTTTGTTCCCCGGAGTCTGCCTTTAGCCCTAGAAGGAACTCGGACTTTTTCTGGGCTTGATTCAAACAGTTCAGCCCCAGCCAGCCAGAGGAAGAGAGCTCTCTGGGACTGGCGGGGCGGTGCTAGGTGGCTGGCCGACGCTGGCCCCTGATGCGTGCCTCAGAGCACGCACGAAGGCTCCCAGGGAGTAGTGCAGGGCGTGTCCTCGCTGCTCCCAGTGAGAAGTAAGAAGGCCCGGGAAAAGGTTTTTCTTTTGCCTTTAAAGGCGACCTGGAAAAAAGGCTTTGCTGTCAGCTGCCAGTGATGCAAGGGTGGCTGGTGGGGACTGGGACGGGGGAGCCCCTAATCCACAGGAAGATTTGCAACACAAATCCTCCCAGGCTGCAGGTAAACATGGCCTTGGACTCCAGGGAGGCCTGATGGGCCAAGCAGGACAGTTTTGGGTGTTTAATATTTTCATTCTGATTTGCACACCTGTTCAGACCACCTGCTCTCAGAGAACTGTTTGGCTTCCCATCTTTATCCTTTTGTGTGCCCCAGCTTGGCCCTCTGCAAACGCTTTCATCCCAGCCACTACCTGCCCGCAGATGCTGGGAGACAGTGAAGGAACAAATCTTGCCTCCATTCTCTCCTAACTGCCAGGCTTGTCCATCCAGCTGTCTCCAGGACAGCCCTCTGAATGTCCCATGGGTACCTGGCACTCACCACGTTTAAATCTAAGCCCATCATCTTCTCCCATCTCTCCTAGTCTCCACCCCAGAGATGGTTTCTCTATCCACGAAACAGCCCAAACCTGAGATCTGGTCTCTTCCTTGACACCTCTTTGTCCTTCACCCTTTGTTCCAAGATATCATTGGATTCTATCCCCTCCTCTCCATCCCCACTGGCCCTGTGCTAGCATAGTCTAAAACCCTTGCTCCTTCACCCTCCCACTCGTCACCACACTGGTCTCTCCACAGCACCCAGCTACCACATCCCTTGTTTAAACATCTTTCTGAATCAGGCAACAACATCTCACAGACATAATGTTGAGTGAAAGAAACCATATGAAGAAGAGTGTGATTTCATGTATACAAAGATCAAAAACAGGCAAAACTGTCCTATGGGAATAGAAGTCTGGACAATAGTCTTGGAGGAAGAGTAGTCACTATGGAGGTGGCTGGTAATCAGGGCTAGGACTAGGGTGAGGGCAAGTGAGGTAGGATGAACATTACCAGCTTTTTTCCTTTTGCCCTGAGCTTTAATATGACTCAGCATGGCACTGTTACTTCACTTAAATTTTTGATATTTTGTCATCATGGATTTTTTTGCACTAATTTTGGTTTTTCAAAAATGTCATTTATCTTGATGACTAAGCTCTTTGGCATCCCCTTAACTTTTATTTGGGAGGTATGGGCCTCATTTGCCATCCCCTAGTCCTGACCCTGCTGGAAATGTTTTGTAATCAGAGTGCTGATTACACAGGTGTGTTCAGTTTGAAAATTCCTCAAGTTGTACACTTCTGATTTTTGCACTTTTCTTTATGCACATTATGCTCCAAATTTAAAAAAAAAACAAACTTCCATGGTCGCAGGGGAATGTCTTCTGTCTGCTTCCTTTAGTATCCCAGCACCAAAACAATTCGTGGCACACACTGGGAATCAGCACATATTTGCTGAATGAATTAATATGGTATTATTCCAATTAATGTAATCCCCTGTATAACTCAGTGAGGGAAGCATATTTCTCTCCATTTGGTATGAGACAACTGAGGTTCAAGAAGGATGTGATCTGCCCAAGATCATGCAGGTAGTGAGTGTGACTTCTCGTATCCCAGTTTAAAGAAGTAAACAAAAACTCTGACCAGTAGTGCTAGTTCAGGCACCTGAGCCGGCACCAGCACATGCAGTGTACCCAGGTCTGGCTCTTAACTGCTTAAATTACAATTATTTTAGTCTTACCATTTCCCAGATAATGACCTCCTTGGTGGGGGGGGGGCTCAGGCATTTCTGTCTGCCCTCTGTTCAGCTAATTTCTGAGCACAGGGAAGCTATAAATGTTTAATAAAGGAATGAAGCCAAGAATGAATGAGTGAGGAAGCTGACTTATATGTGGTACCTGGTATCTGGTGAGTAGAGCACAAGTTTTAATTAGAGATAGATCTGCTACATGTATGTCTTTGGGCATATTACTTAGCCTTTTGGAGTCACAATTTCTCCAACTGTAAAATGGGAATAAAATCAGTACTTACCTCAAAGATTTATTGAGAATGTGAAATGAGAAAGTGATTGCTAGGTGACCAGCATGTAATAAATGCTTGGAAAATGGTAACTACTATTGTTTGCAGTGTTTTACATTCTCAAAGCCTGATTGACTTCAGGGTGACAGGTATCTACTTCTTTCTGTCTCCATGAATTGTTTTCTGGGCGGAGTCTCTGAGTTGGAAGGAAGGGACGTGATGCAGCCTCCAGGAGCTTTCTTCCTCAAGCCCGAGGAGAGGGTGAGTTGGCATAGCCCAGGAAGTCTGACTGGACTTTATGGCTCACCTCCACCCTGTCAGTGATGCCATCTTTGATGAGTTGCTTCCTCGCCAGGAGCCTCAGTTTTCTTTCTACAAGGTGGGGTTCAGAGTAAGCTTGATCTTGTGGGGCTCTGGGGAAGGTTCAAGGGCTTGTCCCTGGGGCTAGTGCACACCAGGCCTTCCATAAAGGTTGAGTCCGAGGAACTAACCTGTCAGCAGGTATCTGGCTATGCCTGCTTCCCGCATCCAGCCCCCACCTGGATACCACCTGGCAGTCACATGCACATTTATCATGGAGCAGCGGCTGACTCACCCCTTTGTACCAGAACTGACTCATACATTAAGAGAGGGAGAGTGAGTAGCAGTTGAGAGCCTGGAGAAGCCCTCCCTTCCTCATTGAGCTTTGAAATTAATGCCCCAAACCTGTGGGCCGTTCAACTCTTAGAAAAGGAAAAGATCTGTGCTCTGGCTGGAGGTGGAGATCTCTGGACTTAGAAAGAAATGGTTCCATTCCACTCTGGGCTCTGTTACAGGTTCACTCGTCACTTCAGGCAAGTCACTGTCCCTTTTAAAGCCTCAGTCTCTTCAGTTTTTTAGTGAAAGCGTTGAGAAGCCTTGTCATGTGTATTGATGATTTGCTCTGTGCCAGGTGTAGGGCTGAGTGATTGGTGCTCAGCCTTATCTCTTTTAGTGCTCATAACAAATCCTAGGCATCCTGTTGCTGTCCCAATTCACGAAGGAGGAGGATGAGACAGGAATAATTTCAGAATAATTTGCCCCAGTCAAGCAAGAAGGCAAGTGACAGAACTGAGAATTGAAACGTCTGTCCCTAGGACTCTTTAAACTGGTTTACATTTACTCCCTTTATCCTGCTAGACCTCGGTTTCCTCATTTTAAAAAATTGTAAAATATACATAACACAAAATTTACCATTTTCACCATTTTGAAGTTACAGTTCAGAGGCATTAAGCACATTCACACTGTTGCGCAACCCTCACCACCATGCAACACCAGACCGTTTTCATTTTCCCAAACTGAAATTCTGCTCCCATCAGTCACTAACTCCCCACCTCCCCTCTCCGTCAGCCTGGGCTACCACCATTCTTCTTTCTGTCTCTATGAATTTGACCACTCCAGGTACCTCATATAAACCTTCCTCATCTTTAAAGCTATGATATTAAAGGTGAAGGGTTATTTGATCCTTCTCCCAGTGGGGCAGTTGGCTCAGACTTGGATTCAGTTCCAGTTCTTCCACTCAGTAGCTGTGTACCCTCCAGGCAGGTTGCTTAACCTCTCTGCCTCTCTCATTTCCACATCTCTGGAGCTGGCCTAATGTGCCCTGCCTTGCCCTGCAGGGGATGCTGGGAGGATCCCAGGAGACAATGGGTATGAAGGTGTTTGTAAAATCCAAAGCCACTTTAGAGCTTGTTATAGATATACCTTCTTCCTGGAGAGCTGGGACCAGGACCCTGGTTTAGATTTAGAGGTGTGAGATCAGGAAAGACGTTAGAATTGTGCATTTCAACCCATTTACAGAGGAGAAGACTGAGGCACATAGAGGGGTGGAAATGCCTTACCCGAAGTCACTCATATGTCCACGTGTATATTCTCTGTTCCCTGCAGATGGTGCTCAGCTGATGTTTGCTGCTGAAACTGGAGGGTAGGGGCCACAGCACAGACGGAAGGGCAATGGAGCCCTTCCCTCTAGCAGCTTGCATTTCAGCTTGTGTATCCTGTTTTGTAAAGTGGCTGGTAGAGCCTCTGCTTATAGAAGATTCGGGGGCAATAATCTATTTTGGTTTGTTCTTTTTACTGGTTCCCAAAGACCTGGCGTTGTGGCTAAGAATCCCATCTTTCTTATTTCCTAAGAGTAATGATTGTTAGGGGTTTTGGGTTGGATCAGTATATTTAAGCAAACTTCAGCCAATAAAAGAGAATTTATTAAAGGATACAGAGGTGTCTCACAAACCAGTGGCAGGGATGCGGTCAGATGCTGACAAAGCCCTGGACTCAGCAAGTAGATGGCCCCCAGGATGGTCTGCATCCCTCATTCTTGCTTTATTCTTCTCTCTTCACAGACAGGCTTGTTGTGCTCCGCAAGACAGAACACAATTCTGTGCCAGAATTTACAGAGGACCATTTCGACAACCCTTGAGGCTGATTTGACTGTCTAGTAGTCCTGAATCTGTTTCTAGATAAGAGAAGCAGATTGGCCCAGTTTGGGTGAGATATTCCCCCCCACCCCTCGGCCCCCATCTGATTGGCTTAGGTCAGGTGATGGGGTCATAGAGGCACAAACAAGGCTGACAGGCTCCCTCTGTATGGGGGTGGGGTAGAGGAAGGGTGTGGGATTCCTCTTGGGGTTGCCACATGGGCAAACGTGCAAACTTTAAAAATGTTATTGAATGGAGATATGCATCACTGACATGGAATAAAAGTCAAGATACTTTCAAATGGAGAGACAGGTTACCAAACAGTATGTTTATCACATCTTTAAAATAAATATGCATATGCAATGTAATTTAATTTCAATACATATATGCTCTGTGTTGAAATTATAGGTGGTAGAATTAGGGGTAACTTTTTTTTCTTTTGTAATATTACAAAAAAAATTTTTGTAATAATTTTCTGACTTTTCTCTAATGAATGAGTATCAGTTGAGTAATCGTGAAACAATAACTCTTACCTCACTGGGCTGCAGTGCGTGTTAACTAAGACATTTATTCACTTATTCAAAAATATTTATTAAGTACCTAGTACATGATGATGTTTGTGAAAACTGCACAATGACCGGCCAGCGGTAGAGGCTCAAGAATTGAGGGTGCCCAGGCTTTGCCTTCAGGGAGCCCACAAAGAGGCTGGATGCTTGGACACAGGCGCTTCTGCTGCCATGGTCTAGATGTATCTGAAAACGTAGGCCAGGAAAACACCTGTCTATTGTATCTATTGCTATAGAATAAATACCCACCAGACTCAGTGGCTTTAACAAGTCAACGCTGTATTATTTCTCATGATTTTGTGGTTTGGGAGGTTCTGCTCCCTATGGTGCCACTGAGGTTACTCATTCAGCGGGACCCTTGGCAGGGGCCATTCTCTGCATAGGGTGTCGCATCCTCCTCTGTCTCCAGCAGGACAGCCGGACCGTCCTTACGACCCAGAGGCTGGGGCCAAGCTGGAGTGTTCCAAGAGGACAAGCCCCAGTGTGGAAAAAAAGCTTTTTTGTATTAATGCAAATCATTCTGGGTGTGACTTGCTTTGTCTCCTACCCTATAAATAAAGCCTTTTACAGGCTTTTACAGGATTGAGTGAGGAAAGGACTTGTTGAGCTGTGCAACTTCTGGAAAGAACATCTACAATTACAGTGCAGTTTTTAAAGCCTGCTGTCACCTGGCTGGACGGTTAGAGTCATTCTCAGTGGGAGGGAGGGATGGGCGGGGGCCCTGCCTTGGAGAGCCAAGTTCCCCAATGGACTTCTCCAAAGAGGTGCCTGATTTCACAGCAGTACTTCTGCTTTAGTCCGCTCTCCCCACAGAGGGAGGGCCCTCCACCTAAGAGCTGCTGTCACTGGCTTATGGAATTATGACTTTGTGCTAGGTACCCTTTAAATGCAGCCAGGGCCTTTCCTCAGTCAATTCTCATGGTGATTCTGTGTGACCCTGTTCCTAAGATGGGGCACTGGGGCCCAGGGAGGGTAGGTAACCTCCTAACCTCCAAGGCAGCACAGCTGGCTGGGGAGCCTGCCTCCCTAACCACGGCTCAGGGGTGAGGTGCTCAGGGCTGGACCACCAGCATTTACAAAGTCTTTTACCCTGTAATCATCAGGGCCTCCTCTCAGCCCTGGAAAGCAGCCAGGGCCTTATAGATGGAGAAACTGAGGCCCTGGGAGAGGAGGGGCTGGCTCAGTCCAGAATGTTGGCTGAGGAGGTGATGGGGAAATGCTTGCCAGCAGTGCTGGACTTCAGCCTGCCAGCTGAGCTGTTGCCTTGGCAAGGAACATCCGTTCCTTCCAGAGAACTCAAGGTGGGGCAGGATGGGTAGGGATGAGATCAGAGGGCAGGCCAGGCTGCAAGAGGGAGAGGGCAGTTCTCCGGGGGGTTGTGGGAAAAGGAAGGGAGCCTAGAACAGGCCAGGAATGGGGCTTGGCCTGGGATCATTTAGCAAAGGGTTTAAATAGGGGTCATGTGGGAAAGTGGACTTGGGATCAGGGGCTCCTGGGTGCAAATTAATGACTGTGTGACTGTGTACTTAGGACAACGAGTTTGGACAAATATCTCCTTAAGCCTCCGTCCTTAACTGTAAAAGGGCCAAAGCATAGTGGGTAGGACCATGGTACTGGCACACTGTCTGGGTTAGATTCTGGTTTGACCACTTCCATTGTAACCTGGAGCAAGTGAATCCTCATCTCGGGGCCTCAGTTTCCTCATCTGCAAGATGGGTCTGATAACAACAGTACCTACCTCACCCAGTTGTTGTGGGATTTAAGAGTCTTGCAGCATATGTAGGAGGCTTCAGCAGGCTTTCCCCCCGTCAGTCTTTGCTGTTGTTATCATTGTCATCATTATCTACCTCAAAAGATTCTTGGGAGGGTTTAACAAGGCTGCTGGCACACTGTGGCACAGGCATTGTTAGATAATTATGGGCAGACCAATGGGTGCTATGGTATAGATGGTGGGTGGTGCTGTGAGACTCACAGGAAGGAGATGAGAGTTCTGCCTGGCTGAGTGGAAGGGTAGAGAAGGCTTCCTGGGAGAAATGGCATTTTCTGGGTCTTGAAGGACCAGTAGAAGTTCCCCTTGTAGAGAGAAGAGCCCGAGTGGAGCTAGGCAGTGAGAGAGCCTCTGGGGAGGCTTCTGGAGAACACAGAGCAATTTTATTAGGTGTGCATTTGGACTAAGGGGCAAGGCAGGAGGCTGCACAGGGGCACTGGGTCCAGAATGTCTTGCCTGGGGCTTCGAACTTCCTGTAATAGGTATGGCATTCCTCTGCCTGTTTACATGGTAGAATCACTCAAGACAGTTTAAAAAACACAAGATTCTGTGGTCCCAACCATTATATTCTGAGTAGTGGGTCTCAAGTGGGATCCAGGAATCTGGTTAAAGCTCCCCAGGAAATTCTGATGCCTCCCCCGGTTTGGGAACCCCTTCATGGGGAGAGAGTATCTCTAAGCAGGGATACGTCCCATTGAGACACCAGTCTGAGACATGCAAGATGTGAACAAAGCTAGAGAAGGTGGAAAGGGGTTATTAAGAGAACCCTGACTCTGACTCCCAGTCTCCTACTCCTCCCCAAGGGACTCTCACACTCTAATGGCCACTTTTGCCCCCAGGGATGGACCCCAAAGATGCTACTGCCCTATAGCCCTCTGGCTCCATCTTTCCTTCCTTCTCTCCATCCATCCATCCATTTGTCTGTCTGTCCATCCATCTGGCAGATTTTGACCTCCCCACCATGTGCCTGGCATGGCGTTGGGTCCTGGACGTATGGTGGTGAATAAAGTAGACACTCTGTATCCCTCTGCAGAACTTCCCATCGGTCCTGACTCTAGCTGGTTGAGCATCGAATGCTTTGTCATCAGGAATGTGACTAAGTACAAGGGAGTGGGGACAGGAAACCCACCCGGGGGCTCAGACAGCCATCACAGCAGGTTCGGCGGTCCAGGCCCCATGGCTTCCTGGCTCCCCGAGTCCCACAGGTCCTATCTCCTCTTCCACATGGCTCAGGCTTTGCCTGCCCAACTCCCAGGCCCTCTCCAGAGTGTCCTCGGCCAGGAGGGTGCTGGTGCCCGGGGGAGGGGTGAGCCAGTCGTGCAGCCCCCTCCTCTCCGTTCCACCAGCCCACAGAGAAGGCAGAAGCCTTGGGAAGGCCTGAGCCTCTCTTCCCAAGGGTGGGGTCAAGGAGCATTTCCTCAGGGGGTAGCTGAAATAACAAACCCAAGGAAATGACAGGGATTCTGGGGACTTCAGAGCACACAGCTCTGGTACAGGATGGACCCATGCAGGGAGATGGGGTTAGAACTTGCTGCAGCAACTTCCTCACCTCCGCTTGGAGCCATCTCCCCAGTCTTCAGGCGTGTATTCTGTTCTTTTGTTTCATCGTGTGCCCTTGCCTGCTCGATCCCCCTCCCCACCCCATCAGCCCATCAGCAGTGTGGGTGCTGAGGATGCTGTGCACTCACTCACCCTACGCCTTTCATTTAGTTCTCCCCACATTCATTCAGCACATGGGGACTGTGCTGGACACTGCGGATGAAGCTGTGGGCAAATATGGCCACATGTGGAACTCCCACCTGTGAGACAACTCAAACAACTAATACAGTGTGATCACTGCCACTGTGGAGTTGCATGGAGGGTGTTGTAAACCCCGGGGGGGAACCGAAAAAAGGCTGATTCCTGACCAGTGAGTGGGAAGGAGCTTGAGGAGAGCATGCCAAGCAGTGGGAACAACAAGTGGAAAGGAGTGAAAAGATGGTCTGCAATGGCTAGGGCACAGGGAAGCACCAGGGACCAAGGGAACAGAGGGTGGGGAGGTCAGAGGGGCCATCACGAAGGGCCTTGAATGCTTGGCTAAGGAACTAGAACTTTCTGCAGTAGGCAATGCAGAGCCTTGGAGGAGTGTGAGCAGGGGAGGGTCATGGTCAGATGTGCATCTTAGAATGATGTGTGGAAGCTGGTTTGGGGGAATGAATTGGAGAAGGAGAGGCCAGGCTGAGCAGCCAGTGAAGAGGACCCCAAGGCCTAAGCTATAGCAGGGCAGGTGGCTCAGCAGGTGTGAGCACCTCATGGTGTAAGAACCAAGGTGGGTGTGGGGCACACGGGCTGTGGGGCTGGCCCCACTCTGGGCAGCTGGGTGTTTCTAGGGTTGAAGTCAAAGACAGGCTGAGGCAGTCCGGAAGTCCAGGAACTCCAGGGCTTTGGGCTTAAGTAGGCTCAAGGTCAACAGCTGCGCCTGGATCTTTGTCTAGCAACTTAGGAGGATCACAGCAGGACCTCAGCCCACAGGCAGGAATCAGGGCCAGGACCACCCCAGGGAGGAGTTCTCATGAGTGAGGCAGGGTGTCAGAGGGGGCCTGGTCCTGAAGGGGGAAGAAACCACAAGACAAAGAGCAGAGGACCCCTGGCTCTAGAACCCTGTATTCTGAGCCACCTCCCTTCCACAGCTACCTGTACAGATGGGCTATGGGGTCACCTGGGGCTATTTTCTCGCCCATGCTTGCCCTCAAATGAGACCCCCCCTTAGATGTCTCATCTTGACTGCAGTTACCATCTACCCTTGACCTGGGGACTAAATCTGCATCATGTCTGTCCTGCCCCTAACCCCAGGCTCCTATGAGGATGAACTCTGGCATGGCTCCACCTGCTAGGTGCACACTTGGAGTGCCACACTTACTGTGAGGAAATTTCTTATAAAGATATATACTTACATACAACCCAGCAACCCCACTCACAGCTATTTGCCGACGACATGACAGCATACGACCACCCAAAGACTTGCAAGTGTCAGTTCACAACAACTCTATTTGTAATAGCCAGACATCAGAAACAGCCCACATGTTTACCAACAAGTGAGTGGATAAACAAATCATAATATATCCATCCAATGGGGTATTCAACAATGAAAAAAATGAACTATTGATACATTCAACAACATGGATGAATCTCAAAACAAGCTGAATGAAAGAAGCCAGACTCCCCCCACCCCGCAAAAATTACATTATGTGTTTGATTCCATTTATATGAAATCCCTGGACAAGCAAACTAATATACAGTAACAGAAAGCAGACCAATGGTAACCTGGAATGGACAGTGGTAGAAGGATGAGAGAGAGAAACTGAGGAATTGCCGAGGGGAATAAGGAACTTTTGGGAATGATAGAGATGTTCGTTATCTTGGTGGTAGTGATGGTTTCCAGTGTATATTATATGAGTCAAAGGTTATCCAATTGTGTAATTTAAATATGCACTTTTTATTGTACATCATTATACCTCAATAAAGCTGTTTAAAAAATCTGATGTAAGTTCTGCATGGTCACATCCAGCCTGTTTTTACACAGCACCCTCCCCTGGGTCGTCTTCCTAACTGCCAGGGCACACTGGGTGGTTACTAGGCACCAGCACTGTGGGCTACTACGGTATGGAGTTTTTCATTTACCTCACGATAGCCTTATAAGGCGGTGCTATTATTATTAGCTCTGTTTTACATATGAGGAAACTGAAGCTCAGAGAAAGTCACTTCTCCAAGGAATGTCATCTGACTGAATCCCAGCTCCAGCATTTACCCCTAACCTAATCCAAACTCTGTTCTGATTTGCATTTAGGATTATACAAGCATGGTGATATTTGTGGAAAACAAAACTTAAAAATTTAAGTTGCTTTTAGAGGAAAAGGCAGGAAAGAAAGTTAAATTGCCTTCAGTCCATCAATCCTCGTACCTCATTGACTTTCTTAACATACTGAAGGGAGTTTTACTTTTCCATGTTTTTTATACATATGAACACAATCCTCTTCCCACCATAATTCAATAATGTACCTAAAAATGTGTTCCCTCCTCCCGCAACCTGACATCTTCATAGGTGGTCTTGTGCTCATCTGCATAAAGAGCGCAACGAAGAACAGTTTTTAGGTGAGAGATTTTTTTGTTTTCAGGCTAAGTCCTGTAGAGTGCGATGCAGGCTGCCAGGTGTTATGCTTTTTCCTCTGTATCCTGGTCTAAACAATGACAACTCAACGCTTTTACTGCTATTCTAAGCTAGAGCCTTCTTGGAACTCAAGTCCAGACCTTTAAATTCCTTGTGACAACTCTCATTTCTGACCACCAAGCCCCCATTCTCCCTCCATCTGTAGGAAGTGGGCTCACTCCCCAGCACCAAGAATATATTCTGATCTGTCTCATTTTTCCTACCTTAGTGTCATGAGGTCCCTCCTCCACTGCTGACCACAAGCCAATCTCAGAGGTGGCCTCACATGTAAAAAAAACAGCCTGTATTTTTAAAAACCAGACTTTATTTAGGTTCAACTTAGTAACATTCACCAGTTTCAAGTGTAAAATATGATGAGTCTTGGCCAGTGTATATAGTTGTGTAACCACCACCATAACTGAAATACAGAATGTTTCTATCTCCCTGAAAGTTCCCTGTGCCTCTCTGAAGTTCATCCCCTCCTCCTCCTTCTAGCCCCTCGTGACTACTGATCTCCTTTCTGTCACTGTGATTTTGAATTTCCTGAAATTTCTTATAGATGGAATCATGAAATATGCATTCTGTGGTGTCTGGTTTCTTTGACCCAGCATAATGATTTTGAAATTAATCCATATTGTGTATCAGTCTTTGGTTTCTTTTTATTGCCGAGTAAATTCCATTATATGGATATACCACAGATTGTTAACCCATTTTCCAGTTAAGTGGCATATGGGTTATTCTCAGTCTTTGGCCATTGTAAATAAAATTGCTATGAACGTTCACTTATAAGTCTTTAGGTAAATATCTCTCTTAGTAATGGCTCTTGGGTAAATATCTAGGAATGAGAGTGCTGGGTTGTAATGTAAAAGTATATATATATCTTTATGAGAAACTGCCAGACTGTTTTCCAAAGTGGTATCAGTTTACATTCCCACCAGCAGTGTGTGAGGGTTCCAGTTGCTCTGTATCCTTGCCAACATTGGCATGGTCACATTTTTTATTTTTAATTATTCTAATAGATGTATAGTGGTACTTCATTGTGATTTACATTCGCATTTCTCTAATGACTAATGATGTTGAGTATCTTCTTACATTACCACCTAACACTCTCATTCCTAGGTATTCACCCAAGAGCTATTTACCAAGAGAGGTATTTACCTAAAGACTTAATAAGTGAATGTTCATAGCAACTTTAAGCACAATAGCCAAAAACTGAAAATAATCCATATGTCAATGTGTTTATTCCATTCATATATTTTCTTTGGTGAAGTGTCAAAGTTTTTGCCATTAAAAAAGTTGGTTATCTTCTTACTTTGACTTGTAAGAGTTCTTTATAGAGTCTGGATAATTCAAGTCCTTTATCTGATACATGTTTTGCAAATGCTTTCACCCACTTGTGCCCTGCCTTTTGCTTTTTTAATGTTGTTTTTTAAAGAGCAGTTTTTCTTTGTGATAAAGTCTACTTTATCAGTTTTTTCTTTCTTTTATGGTTTCTGACTTTTGTGTTCTAAGAAATATTTGCTTTATCCCAGTTTCTCCATTTCAGTGCAATTGTTATTTGGGGCCAGATAATTCTCTGTTGTGGGAGGCCGTTCTGTGTATTCTATAATATTTAGCAGCATTCTTGGCCTTTACCCACTAACTCAGTAGCATCAGCCCTCCAGTTATGACAAGAAGTATCTCTGGACATGTCCTCTGGGGAAAAACTACCCCAGGTTAAGTAACACTGGCCAAACCAAGATAAAAATAATTGTCTTCTACTTTTTCTTCTAGAAGCTTTACAATGTTAACTCTTAAGACTTCTGTGATATATTTTGAATTAATTTTGGCATTTGAGGTGATGGCTGAGATTCATTTCATTGCATACAGATATCTAGTTGCTTCAGCCCGATTTGTTGAAAAGATTATCATTTCCCCATTGAATTACATTGGCCCTTTATCAAAAGTTGATTACATATCTGTGGGCCTATTTCTGGACTCTCTGTTCTATTCCACTGATTTATGTGCCCATCCTTCCATCAATATTGCACTGTCTCAATTATTGTAGCTTCAAATTAACTCTTGAAATAAGATTGTGTAATCCTCAAACTTGGTTCTTACTTTACAAAATTGTCTTGATTATGTTAGGACCTGCCCTTTTTCATGTACATTTTAGAATCATGTTAATTTCTACAAAAACATCCTGCTGGTGTTTTTACTGACTGTATTGAATCCATAGATCAATCTGAGAAGAAATGGCATTTTAACAATATTTAGTTTTCCCATCCATGAACATGCCTTATCTTTCATTTTAAAATCTCAGTCATATTTTGTTGTTTTCAGTGTACTGGTTAGAGTGGTTTTAAAAATACATTCACAGATTATTTGATATACGTCCCTTCCTGAGTTGGAGACTAATTCTCCTCCCTGTGAGTATGGGCTGGACTTAAGAGACTTAACTTGTTCTAAAGGATAGAATAAAGCAGAAGTGACGGTGTAGGACTTTGGAGACTAGGTTATAAAGAACGCTATGGCTTTTGAATTGGGTTTCCCTTTTTCTCTTGGATCATTCACTCTGGAAGAAACCAGCTGCCATGTTGTAAGCCATGGTAAGAAGTGGAGACCACCCTTGTTTGATGTGCTAACAAGCATGTCAAGCCTTCAGAGGACTGCAGCCCTGGCCAACCTCTGCTTAGCAACCTAGTGAGACCCTGAGCCAGAATGATCCAGCTAAACTGCTCCTGAATTCCGGATCCATGGAAACTGAGCTTAGGGTGCATTGATTCAAACCACTCAGTTTGGGATAATTTGTTATGCAGCAATAGATAACAACACACCCATCTTGCATCTATTTTGTTCAAATGTATCACTCAGTATGTGATTTTTTTGATGAAATTTAAAAAGATGTTTTTTAAAATTTCGCTTTCCAGTTCTTTGCTGTAAGAATATAGAAATATAACTGAATTTAGAATTTTGACTTTGGATCCTGTGACCTTGCAAAACTCAGTTCTATAGCTTGAAATCTGTAAATTTGATGTGTTAAGAAACTAGTGTAGCAGTCCTCAATCCCTGGCTGGTGAGTAGGCTTTTAGTAACATTTAGTACACTTTTAGTAAACCAAGTTCTGACTGATTCTAAGTCCATGGTCTTTCCCCTCCCACACTGGGAAACTTTAGGACCACCAGCAGCAGGAGTGTGTGGACTTTTACTTTCACAACTTGATGTTAGCACAGCACCTTGACTGCCATCCAAGTTTGCCTTCCTTCATTCTGCTGGCTACTAACTCAGTTCCTTTAATTTCTTTTTTTAGTCATTAGCCTGAACAGGTTCAGATCTCTGGACTTCTCCATGTGTGATCTTTTTGCCTCCATTTCCCCACCATGTTTTCCAATGTTTCCCAGCTCAAGTTCCCAAGTGTGACACTCCAGTTTGGCCCCTCTCATCTTTTCCCTCCAGGTCACTGGTTGCCAGGCAGCCCTCTGGACAGGTCTCCCCTTCTTCCAGCTGGTTCTGTCCACAGGGCCCAAGTTCCATTGTTCAAGTGTACTCACTTGAGCTGTAGGAGTTGGGGACAAGTGATCTCCCTCTAGAGTGGTGTGAGGTGCGATGCAACGGCACCTTTCATGCAAACATCCACCCCTATGCCCTACCTCCTCCGAAGCCTTGAATCACTCTGTGATCTTACCACTTCTTTTCATCCAATCTGTGAGAGAAATCCAAACCCCATTTATAGAATTGAATACTTCAGTGATTTGGCATTAATTATCTCCCTCCTCCCTCCCAAGCCCTTCCACCCCTTTCTTTGCTCATTTACAGTCAGAACTGAAAGGGACCAGAAAAATCGCGCACTCCAATCCAAGCTCTTGGTAGGGGAGAAAATGCTGGCCTGGAGAGTTTAAGTGACTTACTTGTTCAAGTTCATACAGAGGCAACGTTTAAATATAGGCCTCTTGATTTTCCCGAGTTAGTTCTTCACTCTCACCAATTAGTATGTGGCCCCAGCAGGCAGGCCCACCTCCTACTCCCACTGGGGCCTGATGGGGTAGAGAAACTGGTAGTACAGTCCAATGGAGGCAGAGAGGGCCAGGGAGCAGGTGACCCAGCTGAGGCTGTGGGTGGCAGGTGTCCCACCCCACCCAGGATTGGGCTTTAGAACTTAGTGGGTGAGTGTCTGGGGGTCTAGGTCCAGTTTTGGCTAAGAGATGAAAGGTACAAAGGCCGGGGACTGGATGAATTGTAGCCAGAATCAACAGACCTGTATTGGTTTCCTGTGGCTGCTGCAGCAAATTTCCACAAACTGGGTAGCTTAACACAACAGAAATGCGTTCTCTCACAGTTCTGG